CTCTCTCTCACTCTTTTTCTCTCTCTCTCTTTCTCTCTCTCTTTCTCTCTCTCTCTTTTTCCATCTAGCTATGTGTCTTTCAATTGATGTATTTATCGAATTACATAGGTTTCCATCTATCCATCCAGCTATCGATTTCCCTCCCTATCTCTTCTTCTCCTACTCCTTCTGACTCTCTCCTCTTTCTTCTTTTTGTCTATTAGTTATCAACATATATGTCAGTTTCTCTCTCACTCTCTCTCACTCTCTCTCCCTCTCTGTGTCTCTTCCTCTCTCTCTCTCTCTCTCTCTCTCTCGCCTCTCTCCTAACGCTGTTCTCTCTGTCGATCTATCTATCTATATATCTAATCTATCTAGTCATCCATCCATCTCCATCTGTTTATTTGTATATCTATCTATCCCTCCATCCATCTTCCTCTCCCTTTCGCTCTCTCTCTCTCTCTCTCTCTCTCTCTCTCTCTCTCTCTCTCTCTCTCTCTCTCTCTCTCTCTCTCTCTTTCTTTCTCTCTCTTTCCACATCCTTTTAGTGTATATATATAATTCGTTGTTGTAAAATTTGTATGTCTATAATTACTATTTGTAAAAAATAGAATCCTACATAAAAGTATATATTATGAAATGAATCATTCATCTTAGGTGGTAGAACGATCAGAAGACAAAAGGCCTAACTTTGCGAGATAAAATAAAATAAATTAATCAATGTTTTGCATCCGCAATCTATCTGTCAATTTATTCTCATTTCCATTTATCTACGTCCATCTCTTTTTTTCTCTCTATTTCTTGCTGAGTACTATGTGTACGTACATTACATCCCCATGTTTCTTAGTAGGGAAAAATATAAAGCGATAGAAAAGTCCAAGGGGCTTAACTTTTCACGATAAAAATCATAACCAATCAACAAATTAATCCTTGTCGCTTTTCTATCCTGCTTCTGCTTTGCATTAATTAGTTGATAAAATCAAAGTGTACGGACACTTTAAAAGCATAAAAACGGTCATTATAATACTGCTTATTAATCCACTCTCTAAGGAAAAATGCCTGTAAATATTTTTAACTAATTGTATCCAGTTGGTTTTTTTCGGTCATCAAAGGATTCACTTGGTAATTCGCCAAAAAAAATCTAAAACGGGCAAACCTATGATTCAAAAGGAAACGGGCTGAATACAAAGATAATCAGCAACGGCCAATAAACAACGGCAGTGAGTCGAGTCAATTATTAAAAACATTCAAAATTATTAGCGAATTGGCAATAATAAACATCAAGAAAAGGATACCACGTATATTTTACAAAGATGAATCAATTTAATCGAAACTCATTTTCAAATTTCATCAAAAACCCGGAACCGACGTTTTAGGTAGAAACGTCATGTTTACTGTTAAAAATATACAATTCAGTTACAAAAGTGTGCCATTCCTTTCTGAGATGGAAGAGTCTGTGTTTGTTTATGTCATCCAAGTATAGGTTTAGATCCTATATGTCTTTGTGTCCCAAGATATCAACCGCACCTTATGAGTTTTCCCTCCCCTCCTTGAGATGGGGAGTTGATGTCCGAGTGGATCGAGGTCACGATAGCTCTGGAGGTAGAGCAGCGGCGTATTTAGCCGAAGATCGTGGGTTCGAATCCCGCTCGTGACGCTGACATTTTTATCTCAACCAAAACCTTAATTAAAAAATAATTTATTGAAAATAATTTATTTGGTCAATCGGACCACGAAACCTAATAGATCTATTTATAAAGTTGATTATAATGTTGATTTGTTTGTTTTAAGTGTTGGCTCTTCTTTGCTTTTTATTTTTATATATTTTTTTAATAATTTATATTGTAACGATTGATTTGTTGTGTTGCTTCACTGTCCTATGCTTTCTACCCACAGGGATACCTTCCTTGTGGGCTCAGGCAAAGTCTGACCATCAATCCTGGTGCCTGGGAGTAAACATTGATGGAGGCAAATTCCTTCCTATACCCTTCCTTTCGTAACTTTCCTTTCTCTTCCTTACCCCCTCTGCTTTGGCAGAGCCTTCCTGGGTTACTGAACCCGCACCTCTCAGGCAACGGGTGCATCAGTAGGGGGTTCGTACAAACTCCTGGGTGGGCGATCAGTCCCACCTTAAAAATAATACTGAACCACGGGAGTAGACCATCCAAGAGGCTCTACTAATTGAGGGAGGTTGGATTCGTAGTGGTCGTGATTTGCAAAAAAATTGTACGTTAGCTGTAGAGTACCGGCCAACGGGAGCCAGATCTCTTTTTTTCCGTAGTTGGTGAAAACCTCAAAACTGGCTTTTTTAAGGCTTGTATGTATGTGCACTTTTTAGGGCAGTTCTGAACTTGGTTAGCATTGCACCACCTCACTAGCCAAGGTATGTGATAAGTCCATGCATGTAAAATCTTCCTAGTGTTCTCCTTGAGAAAATTGGGCGTCTGAGAAGTCCCTACGGTGATAAGTCCGGACGTTAAAGATCCTCATACCTGTCGTATTGTTCCACCAGGTTTTGGACTAATTAAGGATCCATTTTAAAAATTATTCTCTATTGTGGCAGGCTGCTAGGCCGCAGTAGGGTTCTGGGCCCAGAGAGTCCATGTTGGCTCTCTTTTAGGCCAAGATGTTAACCTTTCGTTGCATCAATGCCCCGAATGTCCTGAAGCCCATGCCAAGAACAGATGAAATTCTTTGGTTTTTCTTCCTCCTGGCAACAATTACACAGTCATGTTTCTGCTGCTCCCAGTCTACATAATACCTCCGGAGTATGCAGATCCCAGCCTGCAGTACTACATTGCACCACCTCTCTAGCCAAGGAATGTGCATCCAAATGCACATCCAAATTCATGCATGTAAATGTCTTCGAGAACACTGGGCGTCTGAGAAGTCCACTCGGGGATGTTTGGATGTTGAAGATCCTCACGGGTCTCAACATCCATGAGTAAAGATAGGAACATCTCTCCTTTGCTAGGGTACCTGACCGGATTGGACTGTAAATAAATACAATAATATAACGAAATAAAGGAAACCTCAGTATATATTATTATTTGCTACTGTGATTGCCTGACAGTGGAAAGGTTTCTAACCGCAAGGAAAATCATAACTCATTAAATATAGCTGAATAGTAGCAAACAAGAATAAGCCAAAGCTGAATTGTGTTGTAAACACTTTTCCTCACTTAATTTATAATTCTAACCGTAAACGTGAGTTTCTACCTAAACCGTCTGTTTCTATTTATTTATTAAACAAATAATGAGATAAATTAAATAAAACACCTTTAGAACAATGTATTTTGTCGATTGTAAAATGTACAAAGCGTATTTCCGCCTAAATGAACTTATACAAAATCCTTCTACTTTCCTCAAGATCAAAAAGCAACATAATTACTCCAAGCGAAGATTTAGCCATATTATTTATCTATCTGTACGAATTCTAAATATAACAATTTTCCGTATCGAACGTCCGTGAACACTGACGACCTAGATGTATTAGACCTTATATGTATTAAAAATTTATATATATAGCCTTCTTTCGTTCTCCCTTTAATTAAAACCTCTCCAGGTTTTACTAAAAAAGAAACCGAGATTTTAGCGAGGCAGCCCGAGGCGAGTTGGGCCCTTTGGAAGATTTATGGCTGCATATTAAGGACGCCAACTCGAGCGATCAATGTTATATGGTTTTATCCTTTTAACTTAATCCCCGACTTCCTGTTGAAATAAATGGTTTTGTTGAAATACTAATCGCCTAGTGATTTATTCACAATTACACGTATATATTATAACGAAGCTTGAGAAAAATGTTAACACTTATCTATGTATATGATCAATATGCCAAGTTATAGATTAATCTCCGCCATTTTTTTATCTTTTGTTACTACCTACATGTCAGTTTAACCTCCTCTTGCTCTCCGCTTTCTCTCTCTACCTCTACATATATTTCTTTCTATCGCTCTATTCATCTATCTATCCGTCTATATCTTTCAGCACCAATGTGTCAGTTTATTTCTCTATCTCTACCTCTCTCACGCACTCTCTGTCTCTCTTTCACTCCCTCGCTCACACTCACTCTCTCTGTCTGTCTTTCTCTTATCTTTTCTCTTTCTCTCCCTTTCTATCTTTTCTTTCTTTATCACTCTATCCAATTATTTAACTAACCATCCCGAACCATATAACTATATGCTGTTTGTTTCGTTTATCTACCTATATATCAGTTTACCTCTCTCACTCTCTCTCTCTCTCTCTCTCTCTCTCTCTCTCTCACTCTCTCTCTCTCTCATTCTCTCTCTCATTAATTCTCATATTTTCTCTCACCTTCCAAGACTCCCTTTCTTTATCAATGCCCATATTGCACTAATAAAATGTACATCTTTTCTTAACAAAAAACCTAATGAAGAAAATACGTAATCATAAAAAATTGCGAAACATGACCTTCTCTCTTTCTCTCTCCCTCTCTCTCTCTCTCTCTCTCTCTCTCTCTCTCTCTCTCTCTCACACACACACACACACTCACTTTTTCCCCATATTGCACTTATAAAATGAACATTTTTTACTAACAAAAAACCTAATGAAGAAAATACGTAATCATAAAAAATTGCGAAACATGACCTTCTCTCTCTCTCTCTCTCTCTCTCTCTCTCTCTCTCTCTCTCTCTCTCTCTCTCTCTCACTATCTATCTATCTATCTATCTATCTATCTATCTATCTATCTATCTATCTATCTCTCTATCTCTATCTCTATCTCTATCTCTATCTCTCCCTCTCTCTCTCTCTCTCTCTCTCTCTCTCCCTCTCTCTCCTCATTTCCTGCTCACTCCTTAATATTCCCTATATAAGTCTAATTCAGTTTTAGTTGCGTTCTGCTTGGTCACAACAACGTAAAGTTCATCAATACAATTTTATTTTTTGCAAATGCAAAATAATCAATGTCATTTGAAAAGGAAATTGGAAAAAAGAAGGCTGAACGATCAACTTAATAATTAGGTAATTGGTTTTACAATCCAACAGTACAATTTTACATACCCTGATAGTGCATTCCACGAAATCCAAGATCTTCACATTCAATTTAGAGTGGCTGTAATTAAAAGATTATTTAAGTTTATATTTAAAATTTAAAAATAAAGGAATTTTACAAGAAATTATCAGGTTTTACCAATACCATTCATACTATCCTTAACGTTAACACACCGCAATTCAGACAGTAAACTGGGGGGGGAAACTTTATCAATCAAGAAAATCGCTATTTCTAAATTTGCCGTTTCCACCGAGTGATCGGGGAATCCTAATATCCATACCGACGAATTGTCAGCGAAATTGTACTTTAAACATTTGGCCGGACTTGATGGTGGCAGTTTACGAAGTTACTAAACGTAGCAAGGGCCATTTATAAAGGGGTTTAAGTCGAGCTCAGATGCTAAGTCCCCCCCACAGTCAGCAACACAGCCCCCTTTTCATAAAGCTTCCTTCTTCGACCCGACCCGCTACTCACACACGTCGTGCGGGTCGGCAAAAAATATCTTTTAAGTTTTACCCCTGGAAAGAACTTCGCCACGCCCATTTTATGGAACTTTCCCTTATTCACCTTTCAAATCACGATGCAAAATAATAGATAAAGGATTCGATTTAATTACAGAAAGAAGGATAACAGCAATAAGTCATAAAAACAGCTATTTACTACAAACCTGATTACTCTATATTCATTTTAATGATTTTATGATTGCAGGATTGATTGATTTAGTAATCATATAAAACTGTTTAATGATGAAATGATTGTATGTCAGAGTGACTCTGATTTTCCGGTCCACCTAGTTGTTCTTGTGGTTAAAGGCGTATCTGAATCGTTCCTGCTTTGCAACATTATCAAGCCTTTTTCCTATCGCTTATGAAAACTTGGTAATCGAACTAGAAGAATAAAAACGGAAAAGCGATTCTAAAAGTAACTAATAATATTATTTGATAAGACATGCATAAAAGAAAACTTCTTATGTCAAGAAAGTTACATTTCGGGGAAAAACAAAAAGGAAATTAACCTCAGGTAGCGAGTGCTTTTATAAAATATTCGTCACTCGAGCCCATAATGCACACCCAGAAGAAAATTTTTCAACTTATGTCACAAAACGTCAAAAAACCTGATTATCTAGTTTTTGAAGTATTCGGGTGTGTCATCTCACAGGAAAAATGACACGTTAGGTTGGTCTTGAAAAAAAGCAAATACAGTTGTTACTGTCAAGGTTTCGACCTATTTAAAGGTCATCATCAGAGCATATATTAATTTCACACTATGAAGAAGAATTGTTGAATCAACTGTACAAATATGTTTTTCATAATGGATATTTATGCTCGTTTTTTAGGTTTCTGTGCTGCCTGTAACTATCACAAAAATACCCTTACTATCATTCATTTACCGCCATTATCGTTAGAACAAACTAATTTAAATTACTGAGAGCCAATATATGCAAGAAAAGTGTCACAACTCAAAAGTAATAATTTTTAAAGGCAGTACAGCTGGAATTTTAAAACTTTTATATTTTCCTTCAAATCTTGGTCAGAGATTATACAATCGTCTCATTAAATAATTCTCATTGTTTCAACTTAGCAAACTTTGTTAAAGAAGCCTGGAGTTACTGGAAAGAATTAATTTCTTATTTTAAATATTAAAGATGTTTTATTTCACTTAATATTATATTTAACAAACATTTTTCCAAGAGGTTGGGGATAGGGATAAGAGAGGCGGTCACAAGACACCTCGACCTGATAGGTCTATTTTGCACCTCTCTTAATTATAACTCACTGGCCAGCTTCAGGCTATTAACCAGCCTCCACAGCTTTGCCAGCGGTTCCTTGGTGAAGGATCTTCCTTGTTGTTTTTCTTGTCCTGCTTGCAAGAACCTGCACCTACAAAGACCTTCGCAGAAACATGCAATGTGTTCTCTCCACACTCTCTCCTCCTCCTCCTCTTCCTGGCAGTATCTGAACAGTGTTTCTTCTGATTGTACTCCTATCCGTTGTATTGTGCTTTCTTAAGTGGCATCAGGAGCCCAACAAGAATTCTGGTTCGGTTGCGGTTACCTTCCAGTAATTCTTTTGTTTGGTATGAATCTCTTCGCGTGCCTCATACCTGTGGTATTGTTCCACCAGGTTTTGGACTCATTAATAATCCATTTTAAGATGTATCCTCTTTTGTGGCAGAACCGCAGTAGGGTTCTGGGCCCAGAGAGTCCATGTTGGCTCCCTTTTTGGCCAATATGTCAACCTTTTCGTTGCCTCTATGCCCCGAATGTCCAGGGATCCATGCCAGGGTCAGGTCTTTAGTGTCGCTGACTTCCGTCAGGGCCTCCATGCAAACACTCTTTGCCTTCGCCTCGTATGAGGCTAAGGACCTGAGAGTTGCCTGGTTGACAGAGAAAATCTTCCGGGAATGTATTCCTTATTTTTCCCTGGCTCATTGTTCAATCCATATAATAAATCGCTATGATTTCAGACTGGAAAACAGTAGCATACTTGCCTAGTTTTACCGTCAGTTCGGTCTTGGGGCTTATACCGAAGACCGCAGCTCCCAAAGACTTCTCCTTTTTGGAGCCGTCAGTATACCAGTAGGTGTTTGCCTTTAGTGGTGTTCCCTTGGCCCATTCTGCCCGTTCTCGTATCAGTATTTTGCATTTCTTAGCGAAGTTGTACTTTGGAGTAGTGGCAACAATTGGCATACCTAGAATGGCATATGCCTATATAAAAGAGGTTACTAATGAGATACCCTGCACAAATTGTTAGAATTTAGTAAGAATAATAATGTGCTTGTTTATTGAAACAAATAATTTTAAAAAATTTATGCTCGTTTTTTCCGGCAGACGGTTGTCAACCATAGCCGTAGTGTGCTTTTATTTATTTTTATATTTACTGTTGTAACTCATATTATTGAATAAAGTACATTTTCATTGCATTTCATATAGATGAAGTTTACAGAAAGCAACAGTAATGGCGAATACTTAATATATGAGCAAAAAAAAAAACAAATTCTATCTATCTCTCTGTATTTTTTTAGGTGTATCGCTTTTTTTTTATATGGATAAAACAAGAAAGTGATACTTAATAGAAGAATGGATATTTGACGTAGTCAGACTTGGCCTCCAAACAAGTATCATTCCCTACACTTCGGATCAAATACAAACTATAACAAAAAGCGTATTAAAGAGAAAAAAAAGACCTGATTGAAACAGACAATAAAGGACATCGGATATAAAAATGCAATTAATCACCGTAAAGAGAAGCAGGGCTCGTACTCATAACCAAAGAGAGATGATTTTTGGAATCGATAAAAAAACGAACACAAAAGAAAAATGAAGGATGAATGCATCACGATATTAATGGCGCAAAAGAAAAGAAGAAAGAAAATATTTGGAAATCGGTTCGTATTTTCTGATATATATATGAGTGAGACAACCAATGAAAAATGTACATTATTGTTATTATTATTTATCAATTAATTAATCTTTATGTAAGGTATTGGTTGAGATAAAAAAGTCAGTGTCACGAGCGGGATTCGAACCCACGACCTTCGGCTAAATACGCCGTTGCTCTACCACATGACCTATCGCGACTTCGATTCACTCGAAGGTCGTGGGTTCGAATCCCGCTCGACACTGATTTTTTTATCTCACCCCATATCTTACATAAAGATTAATTAATTGAAAGATGTTATTTGGCCAATCGGACCACGAAATCTAAGGAATTATTATTTATATTTTATTACACTGTTTCAATATTTTTCTTTTCACTATACATTTTATATCTAAAAAAAGACATAAGTAAAATATTACGGCATAAAATGATAAAAATATTTCAATTTCTTTTTTTTTCGTTAACGGCCTTTTATCGGTACATGAATATTGCTGTTCGGGTTAGCAATAATACCAAAGTTAAATAATTATTATACGCAGATGCATTTTTTTTGACAATCATGTAAGGTTATGGAGAAATATAAAACGTATTAATATATATAAGCCAAGAGTAGAATTTTCATGAGTAGAGTTTAGTGGGAAAAATTTTTCTCGTACTTGATTTTTAAAAAAGTAAAATATAAAACAGGACATATCCCCATTCTGCTAAACCAAGTGGGGCAAAGACCATCTAGAGAGAATTTGTAATTTTGTCCATTTAAATACTGCAAAAATAAAACAATCCTAGGATTGGACGGTCTACCCAGGTAGATAGCCAGTCGTACTCAAATATTTTAAGAGCCTTAATTCGAATCTGTTACCTTTATTTTTTCCAATATGACGTACGCACGACAAATTTTGTCTCCTAAATTACGCAATCTTTCAGCGTAGTTGACAATTCTCAATTTATTATTCAACGATGGTAGTCGAAAATTATCAGCCCTAATGCATATTCGATTACCAAGTGACGTCTATTTTATATTTAGTTAGTCTGGATTAGGTAAACACGTCTTCAACATTGATTTAAATACAAGCCTTTCCACTTTTTATCTTGTTTTAACTAAACGATATATTAAAACTAAATATCTAAATATTCCTTGGAAGCCAACAATTGTACAATGGTACAATTGTACCACAACCACACGTTTTGTTATTAATTTAAAAAAAGTTTTTTACACCTTAAACGTTCAACACAGTTCCCAAGTTCAACATAAAAATGGAAAATACTAGCTGAGTATTTTTCTATTTTTCAGTTGGGCAAAAGTTAAACTTAACTCATATGCAATCACATTCACTCCCCCAAAAAACACCTTCCTTTCACTCTAAAATATTATTTATGTATACAGGGTGAATTGCTACTCGTGCTACAAACTTCTCCAGTAGATTCTTCACCCTAAAATGAACAAAAAAGTTCATATTGTCCATGGTCCGATTCTCAACCATTNCTACCACTTGAGCTATCGTGACCTCGATCCACTCGGACACTAACTTCCCATCTCAACCCCACCTTTTGAATTTTCCCTCCTTTTTGCCATTTTTCAAGTATTCTTAAAGTTGTAAATAATTACCAAAACGATATTGTATAATTGTAATACTCGAAAAAAACGTACGTCAATAAACGTCGGAATAACTCG